GACGAAGGGATTACCACCAAAAAAAATCAGGACTATCGGTAATGACAAATGGTGTGTGACAGTCTTGCCATAGAAAAGCAATTTTTAGTTGAACAAGACAAGTGCAATACAGATTTGAGTGAGAAATGAAGGTTTGAGGTGCAGGATGGTTAGAAGTGTGAATATTTCAATCATTATGTTTTGACATTGGTAGGAGCAAATGTTCTGTCAGTGCAAACAATGTCAGCCTATATAACAGTTATCACTAAACTATATTTCCATACCTGGTTTTCAATATATGCATTAAGTCTTTGTAACATTCCTTCAGGTGTGAATTCATGTGGCACATATGGCTTTAAGTATTCAGTTTCTTGGATTTCTCTCAATACTGCTCTAAATGCTGTAGTGTTTGTAATGCTGACAGTGTGCACATAGGGTTTACCAATGTATACCTCGGCATACGGATGTTGAGATGTCAACTGAAATGAACACAAATGAACAAAAATGTAATTTGCATTAAAAAAATGTCTAACATTCAGACATACTTTGTTGGTGTTAGTTTAGTTTAGTTTATTTGTACATGTATTGATGTGCTTTTAATCTTACATCACAATCAAGCAACACCAGAAATAAGAAATACAATTATTAACATCAAAAGATTATACAGATTTAGGGCCAATGCAATACTTTATCTATGACATAACATAATACTCTGTTACATAATGTCCAAATATGGGCAACACTATAACATAATGTCCAAATATAATACCAGATGAGAAATGAAATGAAACAGGGAGGGCATATATAAAATCGAACAGCCCAGTGGGAATGCAATAATAAAAGTGGTACAGATACAAACTGGAACAGCACAATGTGAATTTCTTTGCCAGTTCAGAATACCTAGCTTCAGAAGTAATTGGGAGGTACGTTAGCAAACTTGGTCATTACACTGCTAACTTGTAACTTTTAACCAGATTTGCTGGTGCTCTCATTTGTTTCTCAACCAATCATATTGCAGGAAGACCCATTCTAGCTGGTAAATGAGTCATGTGTTGACCTATTGGCACTACAGATGAACACAACATACTTATTACTTACCTCTCGCAGAGTAGGTTTCCCCTTAAAAAACTTTGTATTCATAGAGTTAAGCGGTGGGTTAAAACTGGGATTTAGAAATACACATCCATTGGCAATGGCCTCCAGTGGTGCTGGTCCATCATATGGAAAACCCAAACCAACAAATAACTGCAATCAATCATTATAGAAATCAGATTCTGGTATAAAACACTGACATTTTGATGACCTTTAAAAGTCAGTGGTCATCGTGCAGTGTTCATATTTTACACTCACTTCGTACGTCATTATGAGTCCAATATTGAACATGACCTAGAGCGATGACCACTTCCCTTTAACCTTTTAAAGGTCATTTTTGTTGAACATTTTAAGTAATTTGCTGTCTTACATTTGTTTTTTAACAAATGGACATAATTGCCTATTGACTGAAAATCAAGAAGTATACCTGGTTGTCCACAACTACTTTGAAAAACTACATATCAACATAAAAAGATAATTGTCTATGTTCTTGAAAATTCAGAAACAAATTAAATTAATAAATTCTTTTCTTTTTGATTTGCATGACAAAATAAAACCTGTTTACAATACATCAGTACACAAGTGGTACACTGAGAAACAGCGCCACCATAGGTCAGAAAAAAAATAGAGCCCCCCAAAAGTCCAACAACTCCTTCAAAAATGTGCTACTATGATGGTATAACAATGAATATTGTATTCATTTATCATGCTTCACCAATTTTTAAAAGTGGTTGTCTGAGACAACAAGACCAGAGCCAATTTAGATATCTGTAGTTTGGATCAAGATGTGGGAAAACAAATATTATTATTTATGGAATGTGAAAAATGTTGACTTTGGGATATGTATATTACATTTGTTTTTATTTATTTATTGTGCAAGGCTACGCTCTACAAGTGAAATGATGAAAAGACTTTTTGACCAAACTAATAATATTGATTTTTATATTCAGTTCTCTGTATGTTATGAATG